AAATACTTTGCAGTAGCTCAGACTGGACAAACTAAACCTTATTTATGAAAACTGAAGCTATTGTAGGTTCTCTGTCATGTTTGGAGGGGGGGGGGTATTCAGCTGCTACATGCCTTCTCACCACTAGAGGTCACTATATTCTACACACTGACCCTTTAAACATGCAGCTGCAGCCAGGATGCAATTAGCTTAGCAAACATACTTTGTGTCTGTGTGAAAGTTTTAATGACGGAGCTTTAGCTCAGAATGTGACGTCTTGTGTCTCTGCGGTTAGACGGCGTCCCGACGTGGTCCTCCCCGGACGTCGGCCTGTCGTCGTCGTGGCAGCCTCGCTCTGCAGACATAGAGATGGTGGCCTACCTGCTGCTGACTCTGCATAAGCTGGGTCGCACCGCGGAGGGCGTCGGCCTCCTCAAGTGGCTCAGTCGGCAGCGGAGCCACCGCGGAGGATTCGGAAGCACTCAGGTCTGAAAAACTGCTGCTCCATATGCTGAAAATAGTCCCTGACAAATGTTTGTGTACATGAATTAAAAAACCTCAGTGAGTTTTTATAGTTTTTGAAAATGTTCGTCTTGATCGTGTTTCTGCAGCTCTGTTTTCGCTCTGTCAGAAAGTGCATCGTTGTTCTGTCGCATACAAACTTTCATTACCTTTTTAAAAAACCTGTTTTCAAATCTTGAGAAAACTCAGTGTGGTCGTCTGCACACGAACTAAAACACGTCCTGAGAACACGACAGAAGGAAACATGGAATCTAAACGAACACGGCTGGAAACAAGAAATCATTGAACATCCCGAGCTGTGATGTTGAGTCGACACAGAGCTGACGTCTAATGAATCTTCTTCCCGTCTCTCAGGACACAATCGTCGCCCTGCAGGCCTTGTCCACGCTCGCAGTGTTCGGCAACTCCCACCACTTCGACCTCGCCGTCCGAGTGACCATGGAGTCGTCCACCGTCGCCTCGTTCAACATCCACCAGAGCAACTACATGCTGCTGCAGAGTCAGCAGGTACGCAAGGTCGAATCCAGTCTCACTGAGCCGGTTAAACACTGGACACAAGAGGAGCCGGGGTTCGAACCACCAACCTTTCGCTTAGTGGACAACTAGAGCCAGATCTGGCCTTGCTCAGAATACTTGTGTCCACAGGGTGGCGCCAGACAGAAGCTCATGGGTTTTTCATCCTTGTGAAAACAAAACGTTCAACTAATAAAAAATAAACTTCTGATGTTTCACTTTTCACACGATCGTGAACTGTCGATGTCATCGAGACTTTCAACAGGAAGTAATTAGTTAAAGCTCATTATCATGAATCAGGACTTTGAATAGTTTAATAGAACATTTATGGTCCTGAAGCAAAACTGACACATGGACCGACCGACGTCGTCTTTATCACCTGCTGCAAACTATTTATCAGAAACTTGTTCCCTGTGATTCCAGCTGCAGCCACCGGAGGAGCTGCTCCTGCACGTGACGGCCGAGGGTCGTGGACTCGCTCTGTTTCAGGTGCAAACACAAACATTATTAACGAGTCTGGAAACGTGTTGGACTGAAGAACAGAATAAACATCTTATCACTGCAGAATGTGTAGCGCGGTTCCAAACCTCTGGTGGTTATAATCGTTGAACTGTCTGTGTGACTTCCTGTCTCGTCCCCGCAGCTCACCGTGTTTTACAACGTCAGGAACGAGAAGCTGATGAGGCGCAGACGAGAGGTCGACGTGCACGAGGCCTTTTATCTGCACACGGAGCTGCGGGACGTTGACATGACGTCATCATATCTGGACGTCTGCACCAGGTGAGCGGCTCGGCTCTGACACCCCCCCCACCCCCCACCTCGTCCTCCATCTGGATTTCTTCTCAATTAAAGTTTTTTTCCTCTCCACTGTCTCCTCGTGTTTCCTCGGTGTCTGGTCTCCACTTTAATATGTGAGATAATGTTTGTTTGATTTGTTGCTATAGAGATAAAGTTTTATTGAATAGACGGTCGAACAATTTACCTGTAAATCTGCTGAACTTCCACAAAACGAACAAAACGTAAATAAAAATGA